AGGGAGTATAGAAATAGAGTTAATAGTATAGACTTAAGGGGGAAGTAGGATACATTAAAATAATAATAGATTATTCATATGTATAACTGAGTTAATTATATTGAAATAATTTGAATTGTATAAGTATGATTTTGTTTTGATTAATTGATGGCCTTGCCACCATGATAAATAAAAACCAATAAAAATTTTGTTGAAAAAAAAAAAAAAAAAAAGAATTAAGACCTCATGTGAACAAAGCAGCCTAGGGTAGTTCGCAGTTCCCTGTTAACAGAAAGAGGAGTCCTTAGGCTAAAAATACTTGCTGAATCTGTTTTAGATAGCATAAATGGATTTTGAATAATCTATTTTTTTCAACTTTGCTGTTTATTCTAATATTCATAAACATGAGCTCAAGGACTCTCTTATCCTTCAGCCTCTGGAAATCTCAGACAAAATTGTTCACACAGTTTGAGTACATACTTGAAAGTACAGGTGATACAAAAGTTAGTGTTAAAAATGTACTCTTCATTTTTTTTATACTTTTCTCAAAATGCAACAGACAGATAATCCCATAAGTAATATATGAATGAGACAGATTCTTGAAGATTACCTAGACTTGAAGTGTCATTTCCTGGTAACAGCATGTGATATAATTGGTATTCAGTTTTGTGATAAGAGCAGCTTTGCCACCATGATGTCTTCATCTTCTTTTGAAGCAGGCAAAGGGGCCTAAAATTGTTATGGTCTATCAAGCTGGGTACAGGAACCCAATCTCCTTGTGAGTCTATCATTTTTGTCAAAGATTTAGTTGCATTATAAAATGACATATCTGAAGAAGCAATTTTGTCTAAGAGAAGGAATGAGGAAAGAAACAAAATCATAACTGAGTCCATACATCATGCTAAACCATGGTTTAATAATGAACAAATTACAGTTGGTTGGGTTCTCACCAACCCAACTTAACCCAAACATATTATGATTTATATTAATATTGAATCCAGCCTATGAGTTGGAGAATTCTTTTCTCATGCTACCTTATCACTTTCTGGGATTAAAATATATATTGCTATTTGCCTATTTTGTATGGCTTTGAAATAATCTGGTACAATATTAGTTTTTCCCATTAGTGGATGGTGGCATTATTTGGAGAATATATAGGTCTTCAGGTACTGTTGGATAACAACCACCAGCGCAACTCACCACTGTTTGTGCTGTTTGTAAGTACGGGAAAGTTTTTCCTGAATCATATAATCAGGAAAGGTCTTATAGTCCAACCCCCTGCCCAAGGCAAATGGCTGCCCAATCTTTTCTCAAAAACCTCCAGCAATGGAGCACCCACAACTCTGGAAGGCAAGCTAATTATTCTTACAGGAAATTTTTCTTTAGTTCCAGGTGGATCTCTTTTTAACCAGCTTGCACCTATTGCCTCTTGTCCTGTCCTCAGGTGTTTTCAGGAATAAGTCAACCCCCCTCTTCTCTGTGCAGCCCCTCAAGTGCTGAAGACAACTATCACGTCACCCTTAGTCCTTCTCTTCAGTAGATAGAAATACCTAGTTCCCTTGATTGTTCATCATACAATTTAACTTCCAGATCCCTTACAATCTTTGTTACTCTTCACTGTACTCTTTCTAGGGTCTCAGCCTTTCTTTCTTTCTTTTTTTCTTTCTTTCTTTCTTTCTTTCTTTCTTTCTTTCTTTCTTTCTTTCTTTCTTTCTTTCTTTCTTCCTTCCTTCCTTCCTTCCTTCCTTCCTTTTCTTTCTTTTTCCTTCCTTCCTTCCTTTTCTTTCTTGTATTATGGTGATCAGAACTGGATGCAGCATTCTAAGTGTGGTCTCACTAGTCAATATAAAGCTATACTATCACTTCTCATGATATTTCACTATAATGATAGTGACTCTGCTGGCTCATACTTAAGTGATGGTCCACTAAGACACTAATCCTTTTCACAGTTACTACTGTTGAGTCAGGTACTGCCTATTCTATACCTTTGCATTTGATTTTTCCTGCCTAAGTGCAGGACTTTATTTTTTTCACCACTGAATTGCATCTTGCTGCATCTTGTTGGATAACATAGTTCTATAACTTCTGAAATGTTAGAGTCTGATATTAACAAATCAAGGACTTCTAGTCTGAGCAACCCAGCATCATAAGTTAATCAGAGATTCAGTTAAAAAGACAAACTAAGGATATGGAAGTACAAGTAGCTCTCTACTTAATACCAGTCCTTAGCAACCATTCAATGTTATGACAGACCATGGAAAAGGGACAATTCAGTTTCTGATATCAGTCCTTCTCCCAGGTAATGTGACCAGATTTCAAGCACTTGGCAACTGGCCTGCATTTACTGCCATTTGTAGCACCCCACGGTCATGTAATCAAGATTTATGATATTTCTGCCAAAAATCAACATTTACTTCCAGTTTCTGGCAAACCCTCCCCCAGTGAATAATGGGTTCCCTTAGCAGCCATGGCTTTTGCTTTACAACTGCAGTGAAAAATAAAATTGTGTCTGACATTTGGTGACTGCTTTATGACTACCATGCAAAAGACCTCTGACTGTAATAGCCAGCCTCACTGAGGTCTTGCTCAAAGTCAATCATGCCTTGGTCACCTCCGGTCTGGATTACTCTACACAGGGCTACCCTTGAAGACTACCAGAAACTGCCACTGATTCAGAATATAGCAGTGTACACAGTAATGAGGGGCATTAGGTTTGTCCATGTAACACCTCTTGTGCAAACTGTACTGGCTTTCATTTTTCCCCCCAAGTGCAATTCAAGGTGCTGATAATCACCTTTAAAGCCCCATATGACCAGAAGGCTTAGCTATCTTGGGAACTACCATTCCCATTCTACCAGATTAGGTAGGGTGGGCACACTTCTAGTCCCTTCCTCTAAATATCCCTAAACTAAAATGGGAACGTTAGCAAGAGCAGTTGAATGAAATGTCTTTAACTTGAAAGTTTCTGGAATTCCCTGTGAAAAAAAATACGTCTCTATTCTAATAAGTATTTAGGCAGTCAAGTCTGCTTCATTCTCTTTTTTATTTTTCTCATTGAATCACGCTATAAAGCAGTGTTTCTCAACCATGGCAACTTTGAGATGGGTGGACTTCAACTCAGAATTTTACAGCCAACATTCAACCAGTCCAGAGTTACACAGCCAATATTCAGCCAGTCCATCTGACCCATCTTAAAGTTGCCAAGGTTGAGAAACACTGCTATGAAGTTTCAGATGTGTTACTGATTATAAAAAGTATGTTAAAGTACAGATGGAGAAAGAAACTGGATGATTGTTTCAGACTTCATAATGATTGCTTTGGTCTGAATTGGAAATATCAGAGTCTCCAGTAGCTTTAGGGATTGGATCAAAACAACAGCAACATGTGTTTAATTTTAGGCTCCCTGACTGGGGAAAATGGATTTTTGTGTCAAATCACCATCATCTACCACATTTACAACATGAAGTCTGAATGTTTTACATCCCTTGTCATAGCTGATACTTTAAAAAAGTTTTTTAAAAAAGATGAAGAATCTAATATTGTACACACCGGTACTTCTTATTTTCCTTCATTGCCCAAAATCACTTCGCAAAATGTCCCTATTGAGATTGGTTAATGTGTTTGTGTGTCTTTACCCAAAGAAAAATCACTTTTACCTGATTTGGAGCAATTTACCCAATTAGCAATTTACAAACATTAGTTACTATCTTTAGTTCCACATTTTATTTTGCGTCATCTTTTCGGGTTGAGTTAGTTTAAAAAATGCATGACACTGTATTTACAATTTCTGCAATAAAATAACCCCGCTTCATTCCTGTCCCTGGAAAGTTTGCTTAATTGGAAGAATAATATTCAACTGTCCCCCACCCAGCAAACTTTAAGTAAAAAAAATAAATCTTAATTTTTCTTACCTTTGCCTATGCTTAAACGGCGCTCCGTACAGCTGTAAAAGAGATCTCTAGCGAAACTCAATCTTTGGCCTATAGAAATGCAGAAGTTAAATATGCAGGGGAAATAGGGAGCTTCCTCTAAATTCTGCTTGCATCAGAATGGTTTTATTTTACTTTCTTATTCTTCTTTTAAGGAAACCGACAATTAAATCTTATATTTTTTGGGGTCTTAGAAAATGGTGCGCTGTTCTACCTTACGCGGAAGTAAGGTTCGCTGAAATCAACAAGCTTACTTTTGAGTAGCTGCTTGTTACACTGATCAAGAGACGGGGCGGCTGGTGATGGGAGTGATTTGCTCGGGGAAGGGTGGGAATTGTTAGAGAAGGAGTTGTTCCTTCTATCGGTAATGCCGTTTCTTAAATTGAGAAATTCCATCGGTGGAAAAGCGAAAATATTGCATCGGCGGGCTTTCCCCTTTTCACTGTCATGCAGAGACAGCTGTAGGAGACGTGCACTATTTTTTGTTCGTTTTTTAATGTTGTGGCCGGAAGAGCAGTAAGTCATAGGGCAGAGAGCGATTTCGAAATCCTCTGCCCCGCCCTGGGATGATTCAAAGATCCAAAGGAACACATTTAAAGGGACGTTCAAATACTCTGGGAGTTGAAGATTGCTAAGATTGAATCTGCTAAGATTGAAAAACATAAGATTTAAAATAATAGAATGAGAAGAATAACTTTGCATAGAAGGTGAATATTTCTTCCTTACCACCGTTTTGCTCTCATCACGGAACCCTTTTAAACTGAAGTCTTAAATTTACTGTGTGGTCTCAATCTGGGTGGCTGTCATTTTTATATATTATCTCAAGCACCAAACCTTCAGCAGGCTTCAAGCTTTTGCCAAATTCTTTCCTGATAAAATGGCAGGAACTAATGTCCAAATGTATGTATTAGGGAAAAACAGCATTTTCAAGAGTACTTTACAAGTAAAAGAAACCTCTTTGTCTTTCATTTTATGCATGTATCTACAGCCTTTACAAGTTGCCCCAGTTGTAAGATTTTGGACAGTGTACAACCAAGGGGGGAAAAAATAACCAGAACAAGATTGGGATTAGAAAAGACAATTTCATGGAAAGACAGCAGAAAAGAGAGTTTGCTAGGAATGTTTATGTTGTGATTAAATACAACTATTAACAAACTTGAGGGAACAGCAGCCATAGCAATTAGAAATGAAATGAAATGAAATGGTGCACTTTTTTTGGTTGTGTCTCAGATTGGCTTGCCAGGCAAAGGTACTAACCTTGGTTTACAGCTTAATATTTGGCCTGGATGTCAGTTACTGATATGGAGCCTGGATTTTCCTTTATATTATTATTATACCATGATTTTTGACAGGCAATTGCCAGGAAATGAAACAGATTCTCACTTAGAACAATTGTGGTTATTTCTACTACATTTCCACCAACATACATGTTTTTACTATAATAGTTATATTCAGTCTAAATTGTGAAAAAATTGCTATACTATAATAAAGGTCTTCATCAGGACATAAATGGCATAATAGGGCTTTTGCTGCTTATAATACTGATCATGAAGTCATATTTTGGGACTCATTTATGCACCTAAAGCTATTCCATTAAAGGTTATGGAATTTGTTTGAAGCTACTGTTCCATTTTGGTTCATGAAACAAAATAACATTATAAGGCATATTGTTTACAACAGGGACAAACATTCTTTGAGTAGACAGAGCCAAACTTATTTCCTGATAGTGGAAAGATTGTGGTGGTTGGGGTCAAGAAGTTTCCTTTTCCCCCTCCTTGTTTCTGGGGAAGTTTTAGAGATTCTTTGGGGTTTAAAACTACTGCAAGCCTTTTATATGTGTCCCATCTCACAACGGTGAGAAATATTTGGCCAGAATAATTACAAAATTAGAAAAAAGAAGTGTATGCCGGAGACAATAATAGCTGCGTCACATCTGTAAATCCAAGATTTGTGGAATAGGACTTGAACAAAAAAATTGCACTTTTTTTTAAAAAAAGAGTATGTAATTAAAATCCTATACTCATGTACATTGACTGCATCTCTCTCTTGACTTGATTACTATGAAGGGATCAGAGGAGGATTCTTGCATATAACTACTTTAGCGTTGGATTTACACAGAATAGAGAATAACTGCATAGATTTCATAATGTATGGGACACTTCCTTTACTTCTCATTGTTTTATCCAAATTTATGGCAGAGATGATTCTAGGCATTCTTTGAGATGATGATAAGTCTTTCTCTCTCTTCCTTCTTCTCCCTTGCTCTCTTTCTCTTTCTCTTAAGAGTATCAGATTTTTATTGAAATGTTCAAGAAATTGCTTTTCCTTAAGAGTTTCAAGAAAATTCTGCATTTGAAAAGTGAGTGAGAACATATTTATAGCTGAGTGCAGTTCCTCCATAATGTAGTTGAGCCTAACCAAAGTCATATTTTTGGTGATTCCTTTCTGTAATCCTTTAAAATTGAATAGGTTAAATTAATAAAAAAAATAATTTCATAATAGTGTCACTGATCTAAGTCTAATTTAGTCATTAAATTTTTCTGATGGACAATGTGATCCCTCATTAAGAGATCTTCATAACACGTACCAATTCTCAAGAGGAGAAAAATAGCCCTGAATAAGGGGAGATTTTAGGGGGGGGGAAATCTTCCCTTTGCTAGCCATATTCATGGTTATTATTAAGTGTAATTCTAATGGATAGTCCTTTTTAAAATTCACATTCTACCATGGCTAGCAAGTTTCAGCATTGGAAAAAGGGATGCAGTGTCGCTGTGGCTTAATGACGCTGGAACTACCAGCCAGAAATGGTCTGCACTCTGGTGGTTTGAGCCTGGCTCAGTGAGACAGAATGAGCTCCCATCACTTGATCCCTAGCTCCTGTCCACCAGCCAGTTCGATACTGTGAGTAGATAATTAGGTACCACTTTGATAGGGAAAACCTAATTGCTTTCATGTGTGCTAAGAATGGAAGCCAGCATTGGACTTGGTCAGTCATGAGGCATTGCAACACAAGGCGAGTGAGGTGAGATCAACTGGAGGAGCCCCAAAGAGCCAGCAACCTGAGTGCTGCTAGTTTATTTATTTATTTATTTATTTATTAATTACATTTATATCCCGCCCTTCTCCTTACGGACTCAGGGCGGCTAACAATCAGATAAAAAACACACACATTATACACCTATTAAAATTGATTAAAAAGAAATATTTAAACTCGTCAAATTTAAAAATAAATAAAACCCCTTTAAAATCCCTTAGGCCAGTCCCGCAAGCTG